TTGCATAAGCCCGAATTATCGGGCCGATTGCCCAAATGGGCCGTTGAACTTAGCGGGTACGATATCGAATATCAACCCCGAATAGCCATCAAGTCTCAAATCCTAGTTGACTTCGTGGCCGATTTTATGCCGAACCTCGTACCCGAAGTGGAGAAAGAACTCCTGCTAAGTTCGGGTACGACATCGGGGGTATGGACTCTTTTTTACAAGCAGTGCTTCGAATGTGAAGGGATCCAGGCTTGGCATTATCTTGAAGCCACCCACGGGTGACACCATTAGGCGATCTATCAAAACTTCTTGATTAACTAACAATGAGGCCGAGTATGAGGTCATGATTGTAGGTCTCGAGCTAGCTAAGAGTTTGGGAGCGGAGGTCATCGAGGTCAAATGTGACTCCCTATTGGTGGCGAACCAAGTAAACAAGAGTTTCGAGGTTTGAGAAGATAGAATGCAAAGATACTTGACAAACTACAGGTAACATTGCATCGCCTCAAGGAATGGACCCTCAATCATGTGCCTCGAGAGCAAAATAGTGAAGCCGATGCACTTGCTAATTTGAGATCCTCGATCAATGAAGATGACATCGTCTCGGGGACTGTCGTCCAGCTATCGAGGTCTATGGTTGAAGAGGGTCATGCTGAGATAAATTCAACAAGTTTGACTTGGGATTGGAGGAATAAGTATGTCGACTATTTGAAAAATGGAAAGCTCCCATCGGATCACAAAGAATCAAGGGCTCTACGAACCAATGCTGCTAGGTTCGCCCTAAATGAGGATGGAACATTATACAGAAGAGTGTTCGATAGGCCATTGGTGATATGTTTGGGGCCGGGCGACACCGATTATGTTCTTCGAGAAATCCACGAAGGCACTTGTGGGAATCACTCTAGCGCCAAGTCTTTGGTTCGCAAAATCATCAGAGCAGGTTATTATTGGGATAGCATGGAAAAATATACTAAAGAATTTGTCAGAAAATGTGATAATTGTCAACGATTTTCACCGATGATCCATCAGCCCGGAGAACAACTCCATTCAGTCCTATCCTCGTGGCCTTTCATGAAATGGGGAATGGATATAGTCAGCACTCTACCAACGGCCCCAGGTAAAGCTAAATTTATTTTGTTTATGACTGATTATTTTTCTAAGTGGATGGAAGCACAGGCTTTTGAGAAGGTTAGAGAAAAAGAAGTTATTGAATTCATCTAGGACCACATCATATGCCGGTTCGGGATACCCACCGAGATTGTGTGTGACAATGGAAAACAATTCATCGGCATCAAGGTGACGGAGTTCCTCGAGGCACACAAAATAAAGAGGATTTTATCAATACCATACCATCCAACTGGAAATGGACAGGCCGAATCCACAAACAAAACTATAATTCAAAACCTAAAGAAAAGGTTAGACGATGCAAAGGGAAAATAGAGAGAAGTTTTACTCGAGGTACTTTGGGAATATCGGACAACATCGAAGTCTAGCACGGGGGCCACCCCATTTTCTTTAGTATATGGCTCCGAGGACCTATTCCCCATCGAGGTTGAAGAACCGAGCGCCAGGTTTCGACATGCATCGGAGGAATCAAATCATGAGGCTATGAACACTAGCCTCGAGCTATTAGATGAAAAATGAGAGGAAACACTTGTTCGGATGGCTGCACAGAAGCAAATGATTGAAAGATACTACAATAGAAGAACCAACCTTCGACACTTTGGAATTGGGGACTTAGTCCTACGTAAAGTCACCCTCAATACTCGAGACCCAAATGAAGGGAAACTAGGCCTGAATTGGGAAGGACCGTTCCGAGTCCTCGGAGTTGTCGGTAAATGATCTTACAAACTTAGCACAATAGAAGGCGAACAACTGCCAAACAATTGGAACATATCATTACACAAACGATACTACTGCTAAGGTATGACTTTATCCTTTTGTCCATTTGAGTTTAAAATTAACTCATTGCAAATTTCCGATCGAAGCTATTAAAGACATATGATCTCGAAGGCACCCTTTTTACACGAAGGCCTTAGGTTTTAAAGTATGCGTTGCACTCTTTTTCCCTTAGATCGGATTTTGTCCCAAATGGGTTTTACCGGCAAGGTTTTTAACGAGGTAACAACTATGTGCTACCTAAGGAGAACTCAACAGTATCCAAGGCTTCTTTTCAATTAACCTCGAATACTGGGGGGCATCACCCTCAAAGGTTATATTTTCAGGAAAATACTTTATGTCCAAGAGGGCCTCGATAGGAGAACTTTGTAATCGGCCAAACGGTCAGATAAACCGTGTCCATATAGAATAGTCGATCCCCTACGACAAAACATGTACGCATGTATCAATTATTTAAAGAAGCACTATGTTTATATCAAAAACACCTTTGTATCTCGATAAAGTCTACTATTATACGAGCTCTACACTTATAATCCTACGGGAAATGGCTCAAGAGCCAAAATGCAAATACAAGCCCGAAATACTCGGGGACTGTCATCAACAGTCAGCATATCCGAGTCATCAAAAACTCGGACTCATGAGACCTCAAAGAGGCATCCCCTTGAAACAAAGGCCAAGACCAATATACTCGGGGACTAACTTTTCGGACAAGTTCGAAAAAGTTATCGGGAAACAAGTCCAAGTGACATACCCNAATATAAAGGGCTTCGATAAATTCAGCCCTCGAATAATTTAAAGGCTTCGATAACATCAGCCTTAAGAGGTATTCGATTATGTTTACACAAACTAATTATTAATAAGGTTTTGATACGTTGAACCTTCGAAAAACCCAAACGGGTACAAAAAATACATGCTAAGGCATACAAAAATTTTCACTAAGTCTTTTAGCCGAAAAGAGGAAAAAATTATAGCCACTTTAGAGGCCGAATCGGTCCAACTTAAAGAGCCTAAGGGCCGATGTATAAGAGCCTAAGGGCCGATGTATAAGAGTCTAAGAGCCGATGTATAAGAGCCTAAGGGCCAACTTAAAAAGGCTTAAGGGCCAAAACATATAAAGTTCGAGACCTCGTTCTCACTCAACTCAAACTCGAGAAATCCGACATCCCGAGCTCACATCGAATCAATTTAAATTATAAGAGCCTAAGGGCCAACTTAAAAAGGCTTAAGGGCCAAAACATATAAAGTTCGAGACCTCGTTCTCACTCAACTCAAACTCGAGAAATCCAACATCCCGAGCTCACATCGAATCAATTTAAACTTAGCTCGAAGAGTAACAAAACCTTAAGGGGTATTATATTGAACAATAAAAACCTAAGGGTTTATTATGTTCTAAGTCCGAACCAATAATCGGACTGATTATTTGAATCGTACAATCGAAATCTTCGCAAATAAGAACAAAATAGAATTCAACGCAAGTCGAGGACAAAGCAAAAGGATACTTTAAATTCATAAGGGGTGTCTTACAAAACATATTTTATAACGCCCACAAAGGACCCTTGCACAAAAAAAGAAAAAGAGAACCTAGTCTATTATCGGGGTCACATCCCCGGAAGCGCCATCCTCAGGAACTGCACCCTAGACACCTTTGTCTTCAGGAACCCCCTCTTCCTCGGAGGCACCTTCTTCACCTTCTCCGTCCCCGGAGCCGCTCACAACATCCTCGTCATCGTAAGAGACAAGAAACCTGGCATCGGTTTCCCGCGCCTTTGCTTCGGCTATCTCTTCAACAAGGTTGAACTCTCGGGCGTGGATTTTTTTTCGAGATTCTCCCTCCGGGCTTGGCACTTGGCCAAATCATTGCTCTGTTTTCCCCGGTCGGAGGCCTCCCTCAGCTCCGCTTGAACAACCTCGGCATCTTTTAAGTACACGACAATGGACTTGTCAGGCCCGACCTTCGTCTTCTCAACTTCAGCCTTGGCCTATGCAGCTTCGGCCTTCGTCTTCCCGGAATAGGATTGTACCATTCCGTACTAGGCGGTTAGATATTTGTACCAAGAATATTCCTTACTGTAAATAGAAATATTCCTTATTTAGGGTTCCTCTATTATATAAAGGGGACTCCAATCATTTGTAAGATCATCTAATCATTGAGAAAAGAATATACTCTCTACTTTTTGCCTACTGTTCATCAGAATTGTTCTTGCTTTACTTTTCTTACTTAATTGTTCTTATTGTTCTAAGCCCACTTCGAGGTCACTGGGCTCGAGGTCACCGCAGCTGAGTAACATTGGTTTGATTCACTTGTCTCTTTCATTTTTACTTCATATTTCTTGATTATTAATTGGTATTGAACTAAATCACATATCTTTAAAACCACAAATCAAGTTTAATTGTTACTCGTATTTTCGAGGTAAACATACTTTTTTTTCCGGTTTAAACATTTATTTGTTGTGTAAATGAATAAGAGTACTCTGTGCTATCAACATAGAAAATAAAATTTTACATTAGTATACAGTGTAAAAGTGTACTACTAATTCTTTTGTGGGTAAATACCCAAGGAGCTTATTTTATTCAATAATCATATCACTTAAGACTAACTACAATTAAACATCTAAACTAAGCACAGGATGATAACTTGGCAATGATGGTGGATTGCCTAATAAGATGGTAAAATACTACACTAAACATGTAAATGCTTGTCAGTGGCTAAAATTTAAATTCATATCTACATTATGAACATCTTGTTTCAAACACGATTAAGGAAATTCAAGGAATTTTTTTCAATTAATATGCTAGATGTGGAAAAAAAGGATTTAGGTGAAGGATTTAAATAAATATACTTCCCTGAACTTTAGATGCGCGACACTGAAGTTAATTTAAAGTAGTTAAATTTGTAAAAATTTAGAAACTTCGTCTATAATTGCGTGAGCCTGAAATTAAGTTAAAGCGATTAAATTTGTAAAAATTCAGAAACTTCGGCTATAATTGCACGAGTCTGAAGTTAATTTAAAGTGGTTAAATTTATAAAAATTCAGAAACTTCGGCTATAATTTGAATGACTTAAAGTCGATTGATTATCTGTACACTTTGCTCCTGAAAAGTGGCTAGTCCATGCTATCACTAACAAAGGTGCCCCAAGTATCTAAAACGGCCCAATTCTAACAGATCCTGAGTTATCCTGGAGAAAAGCGCGACATCTCTTCGCTCGCGTTCTCAGTTGAAAACTTCCGTCGTCGGTGGGGCACAAACAGTGGAATTTGCGTCTCTAGTTATTGAAGAACAACCATGGCAGGTAGAGTTTAAAATGTGATGCAGAAGCAATTTGAGTTCTCCTTGAGTTAATTCGTTTTACTGTTGCTTGTTGACAATTGTAAATTTTACTCAGGTGGACAACCTGAGAGAGAAGACAAGGTCTCACTAGAGATCACTGAAGAAATCTTACAGAGTATGGAAGTCGGCATGACGTTTCGCGACTATGTACGTTTTCTATAACTCTTTGTTTAAGCATTTCATAAGCTACAGGAAACTGAAGTTCTTAAAAGCTGAAAATTTGTCCTCGTTTTTTGTACCTTCCTTATTATTATTATTATTATTATTATTATTATTATTATTATTATTATTATTATTATTATTATTATTATTATTATTATTATTATTATTATTATTATTCATACTGGTGCTTGTTAATTACTTAAAGGACAACATTAGGTTCAGAAAGAGTAGCAGTAGAATGTAATTGCACTCTGTGTTTATGTAACTTCCAAATCCAGTAGGACAACCCTAGCCGGACCGCTGCTTGACCTTTAAATTAGGAAAATCCTGTTTCTCTAAGCTAAATTTAAATTTTAATGGTTTAAAGCAGTTGTTTTATCATCATTTGTGATTTTTGATGAGTGCTAATACATAAGAGCATTATACACCTTCTTTTTTAAAGTTATATTACATTACTGGTTGTTAACGTAGTTGGAGAACTTGCTAGTGAAATAAACAGATCTATTGCTCAATTTTTTGGAAAGAAATATACACAGGCACACAAAAGATTGGTTCTATTTGACAAGTATTAAGACCCGTTCAGCTCTTACATTAAGGGGTCGTTTGGTTCATGGACGAGTTATGTATTTTAGGTGTTATACTATAGGGGTTGTTTTTGTGTGATGAATAATAATACATGGATTGTTATGCAGAAAAGACAAATTACCTAATCCTTGTATGGCTAATACACGTATTCTTATTCCACATTCTACCTGTACAAAATAATATATAGGTTCCGATATAAGTTATGCAAGTATTAGGTATATAGAGTTTTATTCAGAACCTTCTTTTTTTCTTAAGAAGCTAAACTCTGTATTACATAGTAATTTAGAGTTGTAAAAACTTGTACCTTATCAGGAAAACTTAGAGTTGTAGTAGTAGTTAGAGTTTTATACTGAAGACCAATCATTGTACTAATAGTATAGAAGTTCATACTGGGGATTTTTATTTTTTTCCATACAACAAACAGAACAAGCTCTAATATTGTAGTCATATGATCCTTATTTGTTAGTTATTGCATATTCTGGTCTATCTTTGTGTTTTGAAAGATTGAGTAATGGTAATATAAACTAACTTTCAAGAGCTATGATTGATCACCGTGTAACTTTTCTAGTGTAGAATCATTTGATGTATTTAGAACTGCATACAATTTTATTATCTCCTATTAGTTGGACTCGTCACTGAGGATATTCTATTTGGTGAAACATGCTGTTTTTCTTTGCTAGAGTGTCTAGACTGTGAAATCATTTTAGAAATATTGACATAGATTTTGCCTACATGCAGAGTGGTAGGATCAGTTCAATGGATTTTCATAAAACATCAAATTATCTGGTGACGGCCAGTGATGATGAGTCCATTCGTCTATATGATGTTGCAAATGCAACGTAAGCATCTTTCTTTTACTTTATTGGCAATGTAATTATTTAAATAGTTCATACTTTATTCGTTGTTGTTTTTTGGTTCTCTTCGTAGGCTGTGGTTCAGATCTTTCAGTTGCTGAATAAGCGATGTATTAGAAAAGTTAAAGATGTTCTAATATTCTTTCTCTGCCCAAAAAGAGCAATGTTCAATAAGATGGCGTATTGGTTGCCAAAAAAGAAAAAAAGTGCTGCTGCACCCAGTAATTATTTAAATTCCTTTTACAGCTATTAGTCATTTCCAGTTGGTATAATATTGGTTCTAGATGGGGTTAAATGGAGCGACATGGTAGTAAGAATTCATATAGCTGACTCTAACTTGCTTGGGAATAAGGTTTAGTTATTGTTATGGTTATTTCCACTTGCGATTTGAAGTCACCCTTTTTTATTTAGCTTTTAAGACGAACTAAATTAGTGGATATATCAGTTTGGCCAAAAGAAGGTCATGTCAGAACGCCTGCATGGATAAACTATTATTATTTTTAAAATTAATAACATCGATGTTAATTAAGGTCCATGAAAAGAAGAGTTGATGGTGCAATATAATGTGCCTAAATACTCAGAAAAATCTTTCAAGCGTTAAACTTAAACTTTCCTATCAATAGTAACCACGTTGGCTTCTCATAGAACTCTTTTCTATCAAAAAGGTGGCTTCTCATAGGAACTTGGCAAAATGCTCTTCTGCTCCCACATTTTGTATTATCATAAGATATTTATTCTTTTTCTGGAATGTCATCTTGCTGTTGCCTTCTTCCGATGTTATTGGAGGTGCTATGTGATTTATCCGTCACTGCAGATGTTTGAAGACTATTAACAGCAAAAAGTACGGGGTTGATCTTGTTAGCTTCACTTCCCATCCTACAACTGTTATATACTCTTCCAAGAATGGTTGGGATGGTATGGGCGTACTTTAATATCACAAATTCCTGTGCATAATCCTTGCAAAGCAGAACAAGTGAATTACTAATTTGTTTGATGGACTGTTTCAGAATCTCTACGGCTTCTTTCATTGCATGACAACAAGTACTTGCGGTATTTCAAGGGTCATCGTGACAGGCACAGTTCTCAGCAGTATCAACTTTTATCTGATTTCCAATGAATATCAATCCTAAAGTGAGGTCTGTATTCGTCATTTGCAGGGTTGTGTCTCTTAGCTTATGCTCTAGGAAGGAGTATTTTCTCTCTGGCTCGCTCGATCGATCTGTTCTACTTTGGGATCAAAGAGCTGATAAATGCCAGGTAAAGACCTCAGCTCATTGACATTATAATCCTTACCAAATGTTCTTTTCATTTATCTGATTAATTGCTAAGTTTACTGTTCTTAGGGCCTTCTTCGAGTGCAAGGAAGACCAGCTACTGCAATTGATGAGCAAGGACTTGTATTTGCTATTGCTTTTGGAGGATATATAAGGATGTTTGATGCACGCAATTATGAAAAGGTTTTGCATCTGATACATGAAAATGAATTACCATTTGATATGCATAATATTTGTCAATTTCATCTTTTGCTTTACTCTTTGAAGGGGCCTTTTGAAATTTTCTCTGTTGGTGGAGATTTGTCTGATGCTAACATCGTTAAGTTCAGTAATGATGGGAGACTTATGCTTTTGACAACTACGGATGGGCATATTCATGTGCTTGATTCTTTTCGTGGCACACTAGTGAGTTGTTTCCACCCTTGAGTTCAGAGGAGCATTTGGATTTTTTCTGTAGTGTTGTCACTAAATAGATTATGCTTTCACCCTCTTTTCTGCAGTTATCAACATATAATGTGCAGCCTGTTTCAAGTAGTTCAACATTAGAGGCATCTTTCAGCCCAGAAGGAATGTTTGTTATATCAGGTAACAGTTTCTTCATGATATTCATGCTGGGCTCCTGCTATTTAATACTCCTCTGGTTCTTCCATTTTGAAGTTATGATATTGCTACAGTGTTGTCAAAGGCGCGCTTAAGCCCTGAAGCGAGGCTTAAAACACGTTGAGCGCTTCGCCTCGCTTTGTGGGCGCTTTAGTGTTGCATCAAAGCTCTAAGGCATACTTTTCTCGCCAATGAGTGTAATCTTGAAAAAGCGACCTTAAACAATTGATATTTCACTTTATCTTAAATTATTTTCAATTTCTTTGTCCATATACTTGTTATTAATGCTTATAATGATTAGTCTTGGAGACTACATGCATATTTTTACTTTTTCTCCCGTTGCGCCTTTTTTCATTAAAGCCCATGATTTATTTGTGCTTTGCGCTTGAAGCCCCAATGGACCTTAGAGCTTTTTTGCGCTTTTCGCCTTTGATAACACTGTATTGCTACAGTTTTCTTTTTATGGTGCATCAAGTCCTCTGGATATTATGTCTCTCTCACTTTCCAAATCTTGGTGTGTAGATCATTCTACAGTTTTCTTTTTATGGTGCATCAAGTCCTCTGGATATCATGTCTCTCTCACTTTCCAAATCTTGGTGTACAGATCATTCTATTATGCGGATGCAATTTTGTGTACTACTGTTTGGTCCTGATGATAAGCTTCGCTTCTATAGGGCCTCCTTCTATTTGTAGGTGGTGGGTGTGCATTGCTGGGTTGCATAATTGGAGAAAAATTGCTTGAATTTGGTTGGTTGCTTAATTGATATCTGGAGAGCTCCTATAATTAGAGTTAATGTTGTATGTTGTATAAGAGCATATAGAGGTTCTGTGTTCAAGTCTCATTGCCACCCATGAAGAATTTTTTTATCGTGTTACATAATTCAAAGAACATAAGTAGACCTAAAATGACATAAAGGAAAATTGTCTCAAATTACCTGAAATCTTTAGAAATCAATGCAAACTTAACTAAGAGCAGAATGCAATAAAAGCAAAGGGATCCATATCGGAGATACAACTAGTTGGGATCAAAATCACGAATTTTGCTGGGGGGTTAAGTGTGTGACTAAAGAAACTTTAAATACAACAAATTTGTGCTTGAGGCTAGTTTATTAATTCTCAAAATCGTGAATGTTATTGACTTGCATGGATTGAGTTCGTACTGGCAGAATATAGGCATTTGCTTTAAAAAATTCCTCCTCTTTTCCTGCTTTAAATTAAGATCATATTTTTTTTTAGATTACGTTAGTCCATTTGTGAAAGTCTTCACAGGTACAATCATCGAAGGTACTCATCACAGAAGTGGTGCAATAAAAATGACGAAAATTTTGTGCTTAGTACTAGTGGTGAAATGATCTCGAGCTTCCCCTAGAAATTAGTTAAATCTTTCTAGAAGAACTTCATTCAACTTAAGAGAGAAAAGAGGAGAAAGACGGAAGCTTATTCATCTATTGCTTTAGTTAGCAGCTTGTCTTTTGGTAGGGAAAGTAGTCTCGCAGCAAGAATCACTAGACATTTTATAGCCCGTGAAGCTGCTTAACCAGAAACCAGTGTAGGGTTAGGACAGAATCAACTCCAGAAGGGTATATGAATATCAGATTCTTTTGTCTTATAGACAATTAGGTTCATTTTCTTTTTTCTCTTAATCCTCCGATGCATATCCAAATGAAATAAATTTTTCCAGCAAATTTATTTGTTTATCCCACCCCCCTCCCAAAAGAACGAGAAGGTAAAAAGAGAAAGATAACATGTTGCTTTGAACTACTTTNGGTATATGAATATCGGATTCTTTTGTCTTATAGACAGTTAGGTTCATTTTCTTTTTTTCCTTAATCCTCAGATGCATATCCAAATGAAATAATTTTTTCCAGCAAATTTATTTGTTTATCCCATCCCCCCTCCCAAAAGAACGAGAAGGTAAAAAGAGAAAGATAACATGTTGCTTTGAACTACTTTGCAGGATCAGGTGATGGTAGTGTGTATGCTTGGAGTGTCCGGAGTGGCAAAGAGGTATGAACAAAACCATATATCTGCTATTATCAAACCCTTTATATTTGCTCGTGATAAGAAGTGTATATCTAGCTACTATAATTTAATTATTTTTTGGGGAAGACTCACTAGCTGTAATCTTAGAGGGAGGTTAATGTTAGTATTCTCTTTGCAGGAAACTTTATTTGTAAATGATAAAAGGAGTTTGTTCAGAAGGAAATATAATGCTTTACGGACCAACTTTTTCTTTTTGCTAGTTTTAGGGATGAGTCAACCACTGTTTCCTTTCCTCACACCCTTCTATTTTCAATTGCATCTCTTGCCCTGTGAGTGTTTCTAGGGAGTTCACTTCTTTTCGTATCATGCCACATTTTGGTGTGTGCATGGGTTGACAAAGATGTCGCTTTGAAATATTTGTAATTTGAATTACTTGTTAATTAACAATTGATAAATAGCTATAGAAAATGATGTGAAATGATGTAAGCGGAGAGTCATACTAGTAGTGTGAGGGAGAATGTGTCACTTGAAGATCGAATTGGAAAAAGAAAAGAATTCAAGCAGCTTCTTCCATACAGAAGCGGTGAAGCTTCTTAGTTACAATAGCTCTTTGCTTAATTGATTGTATTGACCAATCTTATTCTTCCATCTGCATCTCTTAGGTAGCCAGTTGGATGAGTACAGATACTGAGCCACCTATGATCAAGTGGGCTCCAGGAAGCTTAATGTTTGTGACTGGTTCTTCTGAGCTTTCATTTTGGATCCCAGACTTATCGAAATTGGGAGCTTATGTGGGAAGAAAATAGAGGAATTTCATGGTAAGTCGGCGTATTGGGAAGAGATAGAACAAATCTACCAAATCCTCTTGGCTTGTGCCTCCTGAGCATTGTCTACATAACATTAGGGTTTGGCAGATCATAATGCGTGATCCTCAGAGTGGTTTCTGAACTAGAACACAGGAAGTTCAGGTACTGAATTTTCTTATGTAGAGCTCAAGATTTCTTTTTCAATGTGTAGATTTCTACACAGTTTGTTAGTTGTTGCATGGCATCAATTGTTTTACATAGACACTGCCATGTACTGATACAACTGGTTCTTAAAGACATTATCTCTGATAATCCTATCCTCTATTTTGGTAGACAGTGGAGTGAAATCAACAGGTTTTGCTCCCATTTGTGTTTATAGCATTAGGTGGTAGTTTGAAATACATGCTAATTGCTAAATGCTTCGAGTCGTAACTGTACCTATGAAGTATGAACTTGCTTGACGAGATTGTTCAGTGCCAAACATCGGCGACAGTTCGATACCACCTCTACTTTATGCAGTTGTGATAAGTTCATCATTATGTTGATGTATTTGCTGGGACCCCTCTCTCTCTTTCTCTGTCCCTCTCTTCCTCTGGGGCATACTATTGCAGCCCATGTTGATTTGCTTGATAATATCCTTAGTCATTGAATGAAATTGTTGTATAATACAGGGCAAGAAAATGAAAGCTGTTAAGAACACCTGCCTCAATTGAGTAGCCCGTCAGGGGCAAATGCTAAACTTTTCAGGTGTTTCAGAACAGTTTTTGAGTTTGAGCAATAGTTTAGCCTAATCATGTCAACTTTATCTGGCCAAAGGGTAGAATCTCCGGCTCATTATAAACAAGGTACATATGCCTTTGGATACTATAGTATATAGAGCAAATTGGGGAGTCTAGATTCAGTAGAAGATAGGATAGCTTTTGGTTAGTTTCTTCTTATACACTTAGCTCAAATATTTTTATGCGCTAACTAGTTCAGCTACTGGAAAGCTACCATATGTGCATAGAACATTTAACAAGCTCAGCAGTAGATCAAAGGCCAGAAAGCTAACCACTCTATCTTTCTTGCTTTATTCTGCTTACAAGTCTGCTGCTTATGAATGCTGCATATTGTCCTGGTTCTATCATAGTACCATAATGACGATAGCTTGTTGAAAGCTCATCCCTATTGTCTTCTCTCCCAAGTCAGACTCATGAAAGATAGAATTACCTCCATTTTTTGCTGAATGATGCAACTTAGAAGAAAAATGTCCGCTTATGAATGCCGCATAATATCTTGGTCCCTTCATTGTACTAAAATCAACATAGCTTGTCAAAAAATATATCCTGTTTGATATCATTGACTTCTGAGTTTTACTGATGTTCTGTCCTACATAATTGCAGTTTGGGCTACAAGAAAAATCTGTAGTTGGAAGGTCAAATGACTGGTTGAGCTGAGAACTGTGGCGGTATAGTCCTCCTATTACTGGACTGATTTGTCATGAACCTTGTTTGATTGTTTGAAGATCACATTTGGTGATTTTTATGAGCGAAACTTCTAAAACTTTGAGGGTTCTAATGTAATTAATGAGATTGGACTTTTTGGTGCTCCATCTCCTACTTAGTCCAGATTCATCCTGTGGGCCTGGAGATGCGGCATCAAGAGAGGCTTTCTGATGCTGTACCAATGGTTTTAACTATCTACCATTTCAAGATAAAAGGAAAAGAAAGAGTAAATTGGTATTCTCGATTGCAAGTAAGTATAGTGCTGTAGATAAATTAGACAGTATTCCCTTATTTCCTTCTTGTAAATAACTTTATCTGACTCGATTTTGTTCTTGATGTTATGTGCTTATACTTCAGCGTTCTGCTTCCCTGCTTTATTGTGAATTGCAGTAGCTTTGTTCACTTACATTTTAGTTGGCTACAATACAGGAGATTCTATCAAATTTTCATTGCCGCTCTGTATGTTCTATGGAATGTGTTGTGTTATGTACCATAGTGATTTCTCACGATGAGCACTTTTTGTTAGATCAATTTCTTAGTATAGAGAGCGACCGACCCATGGTAGTGAGTCTAAATTATTTCAAGACGGTTGTTGGATTGGCTTAGAGTTGAGTGCGGGGCTGTTTATTTTAACAAGGACAAGTAGTTCCGTACTACTTGAAAGTATACAGAGGTGAAATTGAAACAATAAGTGAACGGAACTGAAATCTCTCCGAGTTGTATGTTAGAAAGTGAAAATGGATGCTGGTTCTTGCCTCATCTTACTCATAAAGGACATTACGTAAAAGTGGATTCAAAAAGTTACAAAGATCATCGTGGATCCACAACTAAATCTCCAAGTATCCATGAACTAAGAACAGAAGCATTGTCCATAATTTCCTCATTGGCTCTGTTTTTCTTCGAACACATGCTCAGTAGAAGTTTGAGAGGACAGTACTCCAAAGGGAATGAGGGTCATCAAAACCAGGAAAGCATGAAAAATTTGTCAAACCATATATGGTAAAGCATCCCACCCAAATCTTTGTGATTGGGACTGGCTTCATAATTATTGAGAGAAAAAAAAGCTTTTGAAGGCAGTGGGGCCAAAGCAGATGGAAGAAAATCACTCTAATGTGAATGAAGTGTTATATGTGCCCATCACAATAACTGGCCTGGACCATCGACGTCATTGGCCCACATGTCAGTTAGATAGCTTTGTCTGTTTTTCTTTCGTGTCTGGTGACTTGCTTCTTCACGAGTCCTTTTCCATGGTTGTCATAATTATCTCCATTTTTCGGGGTCGGACCAGGGGTGCTTGCGTCGGAATGAGTTTATGGGTAATTTTAATGCCAAAAAGAAGAAAAAAAAGAAGCAAATTAAAAAAAAAAAAAAAAAAAAAAAACGTGGGAGCTGGAAAGAATTTTTTTTGCAACTGGAAGTATAATACCAAAGTGTAAAAGACTATCCTAAGATTTAAACTCAATGAGTTTGGAAACATACAATTTAACAATATATGGCATATATACACACACTATGATTTCTTATATTCCCCTATCGCTAGGTATTTTTCAACACTTACAAATGTTCGAATGTAGAGCTTGATGGATTCAAGTGAGTTGTGCTCAAACTAGTCACTCGGGAAGGCGTAGGCCACCCACACAGCTAGCTTCCAAAATTCAGTTTGTTGTTAAGAGATTAGAACTTTTGACATTTTGCCATTATAAGTGGTGACCTAAATTGCCTTATCTGATATATTGTGCAAGATCAATTTCTTTAAGGTGGAGAGAATAAAGTTGTTATAAGTAACAATTTTGATTCTTTGATGAACCATTTGATGGGTAGAGATGTAAGGCCGAGCTGTTACTCATTACTTCTTCTATCTTAACTTATGTGGCACAAATTCCTTATTAACGTGTCCCCCAAAAAAATGTTATAGAGGGTATTTGGAGTGGTTAATTTTAAGTGTTTATTGGCTTTTAAGCATTTTTCTAGTTTTTGTGGTGTTTGACAATGATAAAAAGTGCTTAAAAACACTTATTTTTAGACATGACAAGTACAAAAATAAGCTAAAAGCCAAAAGCCAAAAGTTGGGTAATGGGTATTACCAATTTATGGCTTTTGGGTTTTAGCTTATAAGCTACTCCCTCAGTTTATGTGAACTTATTTCTTTTTTGGTCCGTTCCAAAAAGAATGAACCCTTTCCAAATTTGGTAACAATTTAGCTTAAAGTTACAACTTTACCCTTAATGAGAAGCTTTTATAACCACACAAATACTCTGGGCCCCATTTGGACTTGTTTAGGACAACAAATTCCAAAAGTCTTCATTTTTTTCTTAAACTCCGTGTCCAGTCAAAGAGGTTCACATAAATTGGAATAAAGGGAGTACTTTTTAAAAGCCAATCCAAACACCTTCGTAATGTTATATTTAAAAAAAATTAACTTTTATAATTTTATTTTATCATTAATAAAACGATTTATAGCCGCACAAATATCTATAATTTATTTAGATCACACGTTTTAAAATTTTATTAACTTCATGTCCAATCAAATAATAGCACATAAAATTTGATGGAGGGAATATCATCTTAACATTTCCAATTGCTTGTGTGCTTCTATCTTCAGGTAGTGAAAACTAGACGTACCTAATCTATAGTAGAACACTTGCATTACCCAACATGTTATTGTCTCAGTTGTCAAGTTGCAATATTTCGAATTTCAGTGGTCATAGTCCAAAGAAAAGAATTATTGTGGAGGATGCTGGCATTGGAAAACACAAGTAGTAAAGATGAGAAAGAGAGAGAGAGAGAGATGGAGTATGTATGAGGAGACATGCAAAGAATTGTCTGATGATATTTACGATGAAGGGGGGTAAGGTTCAAACCTCAAAAAATATACTCTTCTTTTTCCTTTCTGCCCCAAAATAACGGCCGCATTAGTATAGGGGCAGGAGGCACACTTTTGCTCAAAATCATAAATTCTTCAAACTCATCATTTTGCCATTGCTGTTCACGATGAAAAAAGGGGAGACGGAGCAGTCTTCTTAAATCATGATCATTGGAAAATCTTTTCTTTAGTGTACTATTTGGATTGG